ACTATGCTTTTTGAAAATGTATAAGACATTTTTTGTAAATTTTTTTCACCGGTTAACTAATGCTTTTGCTATTTTTAGCTCAAAAAATTCGCTCTAGTGAATAAATTTGCAAGAAACCTTAGCTTTTGATTTTCTATAATTTTTTTCCTATCACGGTACTCTCTGGACTCTTTCGAGCAGATATGAGGCCCGTCAGCGGAGTTGCTTTTAGAAAGAAATGCTGAAAAAATCAAAACGTGCAAAATCAGAAACAAGCATCAAACAACGTTTTGATCTTGCTGCCCACCCTCGACAAACGATGAGGCATTCTCTGTGACGTGTCCTCTTATCGCTAACTATCCAAAGCGGCCTTTGCCTAAACGCTTTATTTTCATGGGACCTTCGAGCTCTCTTGCTTACGCGCCGCGAGCGAGTACGAAAAGTAAGTCGTCAATTGCGAAGCTGGTACGGTATCTGTGCTCGTTTGGCCGAATAGCTTACAAGGGAAGCATGTTTAGTCGAAGTAGCCTTCTTAGATGGGATGCATGAAGTATTGCAGAGCATAAAGCGCTAGCTCTAATTTCGCCTTTGTTATATGCTGAAGAATCAGACGGCAGCCTTGATTCGTAATGCTGTATTGTGCACTGGAAATCATATCCTTGCCCTCTCGAGACCCTCTGGGTGCGCACTAGAGACGTTAGATGCGTGTAGATTGGCAGTTATAAGCTGCGTCATTTGGGTTCATTGTGCCTCACCTTCGTTTTCGATATATTATAATGATGTAAAGGTTTAAGCATTTACTAGCGCATTACCTCTCTAACTTGTCCTCCAAGGCTGCAAGCTCTGTTTTGTTTTCTACTATTTCATGATTCCAAGACATTTCAAGACGATTTCGCAATAACTGCCAGCAAGTTCTGATTTACTTGCTTATAATTGCCTCCTTCTTCTTAGTAGAGCAAGCGCCCATTTTCAGAAACTTCTTGTTGTTTTCTCCTCTCGTTGGATGTAAAGGCTACTGCGAAAATAATCATGGAAGCTAAGCGCAATGGCTCATTCAATTGAGCGGTCTACGAGGTAGTCTGATGGCGATTATCCCGAAATTTTGATTTGAAAATGTAGCAGTTTATCGTCTCCAAAGCCGCGTTTCGCGTGGGGAATTTCGAATACGATCTCTTACTGGACAGATAAGCTTAATATCTCACTTTTTGATCGTCGTTATTGATTCATCTCTTTTTTTATTCTTACAACAACTTGAGATTTGTAGAAGGAAATACTAGCGTCGAACTATGATCGCGTTGTACGGTGGGGTTACAAACACAGTGATAACTGGAGAACCACACTCTATGTCTGTACGAAAAGTCGGAGGATCGATGGGTCCCATTCAAGAGTGTAAGTGTTGTTGCCTCAAACAAACGCCTCATTCAATTCAGCCTTCAGGTGGAAACCCCTAACTTTTGGTGACCTACACGTTCAAGGAAAAAAGTAACTCAAGCTGTAAACTTTGGTGCTCTCTTCCGCTTCATTTTTTAAAGATCCCTATCAAACTGCTTCCGCATTATGTTTAATCACACTTAACTTTTAGCTGACAGAACCTCCCGAAAGAATTCAGGACACTACGCCATTCGGTATGTTCGCAAAGCAGATAGAGAAAAAGCTCTTTAAAGGCCTTCAAAAGCCCTAGCCACGTAGAAATGACGCAGTGGCTGGTGAAATATCAAGGTAGCTGTTGTAGAAGAAGATATCTAAGAGCACTGTACACTTTCACATTTTATATGTCCCTTGCGGACACGGAAGCTGGTCGTCAACAAAAGCTCAAAGAGACGATCGCGGAATACGAAGAGTACAAAGCCAAATTACAGAAGGGCTTTAACTTTCATTACAAGCCAAAGTCTAAAAACTTTGCCTCTGTACAATTGTATTCGCTAGTAATTTGCAGAAAGAATATCCGCTCATACGAGTACGATGCCGAATATTAACATTGATACCCTCGTGCAGTGCGTGAATTTTTTAAAATTAACATTGTTCATAAGCATTTGTGTACATTAACTCTCACCTTATGGAAGTGAAGAAAATCAGCAGTGCAGGAAGAGCATCACAGGGCTACGAGGCCAAATTTTTGACATTTATGTTTTCGTCACTTCCAGACCTTCTAAAGGCCCTGGCTTCGAATGTGGAGCCAAGCATCCGCGAAAACCCCCAAAAATCCATTTTGGACAACTCGCTGCAACAAGCGCAGGCGAGGGAAAGCCTACAAAGTGGGCGAGCGACCAGCTGGGTGGAGTGACCAGCTCCAGATTTGCTCCTTCCGGAGCGGATTTCTCGCTTGACTTGAAGGTGAAAAAGAGTGAGAATGCGAAGGAAAAGATATTGAATTCATGGATAAATTAATCGAATAATTACTATCGTGGACTGGACAGAGCTCTGACAGTGTTTAAGCATGATTATTGATTAGCAGAAGAAAGATTTGAATGTATGCAAAAGGTCTGCAGGGTAGAATAGCTCTTTCTTGAAACCCCCACATTTTCAACTCAATAAAGCCTGGGTATCTGTGTAGGAATTAAAGGACTTTAGATAAGCCATTGCTAGCCAGAAAGGAACTCGTACGATTCATATGCAACGTTATGTACTCCGACAGCGACCGGTACCCGTACTCACCCCAGTCTAAGACACTCGATTGTTGTGTGAGGTGGACTTCAGAGTTGGTCTCGGCGAAAGGTTTACATGAGTTGTCCTCGAGGAAATGATTAACCAAGTCTTTCGATTAGTATCCGCCGGTGGAACTTTAAAATGTTTTTCGGAGGAGGGAGGGCAAAAAGATTTTCAAAGGCGTGGCGTTAGACTAGCTTACAAGAAACTGTTTGCTACTCTGACATTCCTAGAGGCTTATGGATTCAAAATCTTGAAAAAAAAGACGTGGCGGTAGTCAATCGCGTTTTCTTTTGCGAAACTACTAAGCCTACATTTTCAAAAACCCCAACTACTTACGAGTAAAAGTAGATAACATGGCATTATCGCTTTTCTGAACGGCTGCAACAATCGGCAGAACAATAATTTATAAAATCATTGGCAGCATTCGATCACCATTTCATTCTCGTTCAACCAACAATTTCTTAGAATTACCAAAAACTAGGACCTATGGCCTTTGCTATGGTCATGTTTCACAATTTTTTTTAGATCGTACTGATCCTCCGAAGATCCAAGCAAAGTATGGGTAGAGCAAAGCCTACAGGATCAAACCATTTTTTTCCATTACCTGCTTTACAAATTTTCAGGATTGTTTCTTTTCTGCTTCAAAATTCCATTAATCATTCCAAACCTCTTAGGACAACAATCGGCGAAGAATTCTGATGTTGTTTGATGCAACATTTTTTAGTGTCAACAGATGTTTTTCGCTTCTGATTTAAGTCTTTCGAGAAAAAACAACATACCCTATTTCACGAGTATAGGACGCACCTTTTTCGAAACGTTTAAAGCTGGGCCCGGTTATTCAACAATAATTCACTTTCTGAAGTTTCTAAATCAGATGACTTATTTGTGTCTAACCATTTTGTTTGATACTGCTGATACTCTTCCAAAAAATTATAGCTAGCTGTGGGAAAAAGAAAAGATTGCTCTGTATCTTACTGGGTTATTGCTCCATCCATCTGTGCTTTATGAGCTTCTCTAGTAATTCAGTGAAAATTTTCTTGACCATTACAAATACATGGGCTTCAGTTTTTTGGGAGCTCGTATTATAAGGTTGTTGCAAAAGTTCTGTCCGATTTGAACTTTTTGAGTTCAAAATCTCATAACTTCTTTCAAAGTCAACTTTTTTCCAAGATCTTAGTTTCCGTGTGTTGAGCAATTCCTTGGCTATCAAATACATAGTAGAGCCAGCGAAAATCCTTGTTAAGGAAGAAGCAAAAACTTAAGAACTTCACTACGTTTTCCTTCAAACTTGTCTTTTTTGACATGGCAGTGCTCCCTTATGAGAATAGGTAGGCATCTTATCTAACAATGGACAGATAGGGAAATTTTCGTAGGTCATTTTGCAACATGAAAGAGCCCATAGCGTCTGCGCTGCCGAGAGATTTTTTTGACCGAGCAAAAAAGAAGCCACTTTTTGACCTCGCTTCAGCACATGTGTGCATGCCTACTTACGAATTATGAAACTTTTACAATTGATGTGAGCGCCGGAAAGGAATTGTTGGATGGGCTCTGCTTCTTGCTTTGCCCTAGCACCTGCAACTTTGAAGTCGTCGATTACTTCTATTCGCAGAAAGTTATAGCTTGTAAAACATCTATACAGAAAATTAATGTTCGACCACAAATTTCACTAGCAAGATGTTTTCTTCATGGAACCGAACTTAGGCATATCCTTCTACACCCTTATTCCGCAGCCAATGAAAGAACATGACTTGAAGGGTGCATTATGGGGATTTCTTCGCAAGAACATATTTCTAGGGTAAGAACTTACCTCGACCACTTGGAGATTTTAGGCCTGAAATCTCCTTACACTAAGAAGATTATTGAAATTCAAAATGCTTTAGAAAGCGCAAAAAAAGCACTTTCTAATGATACTAACAATACCGCATTAGAGATGAAATTCTTTTAGAACAGCTGCTTCGAACATAAGGCAAAAAAATCGGACAGAATTTATGCAACAACCTAATATTAGAAACACAAACGTTTGAAAGAGATTGAAAAGTTGTATTTAGTAGTCCAAGACCTCTTAAAAACCTTTGTTCTGCGAATCCTTGCATTCTTTTAGAAAAAGCGAAAATATTTGCAGGATGACCTAATATATGAAAAATCATATTCCAATTCATTTCTAGGATGATCATCTTTCTCCCTTCCTCCCGTCCCCTCAGGTACTGTTGCTGACATAAGAAATTTAGGCATCGAAGCTATTTACCTGATCATTGCCTAAAAATTGATTATACAGAGTCTTGCACTGCTGGCCGTTTTTGCCGACAATTTATGGACTTTAAACTATTATTGAACACTTCGGGTAGGAGTGTTCTATCAAACTGGCTACTACATACTGTTCAAGGGGTGACAGCCGCATTTGCTAGAGACATCATCATTTCACCTTTCTCAGCCAGACTACTCGTGGTTATGTCGTAATTTCGGGCAAAACCTCTACCTCAACTGCAATATGGATTTTAGCAATGTATCAAAGTACGTAAATTTCATTCTACCTTAAACTACGTCATTCAACTCTCTATACTAGTCATCGCCTTTTTGATAACGTTTTTCAGAGATGAGATGTATAAATATGCGAGAGAATCTCTGATTCTACTACTGGCTTTTTTCGCAGTGATTCTTCTTATTTTGCTTATAGTCAAGCAGATATGTTGTAGAAAACCACAAATTGTGGTGATGCGTTTCGAACCCGCCAGAGAGAACGCAGACAACATTCAATCCAGAATGTAGTTATGTCTTTACCGTACAGGTTGCTACTTGTTTTTGTGTGTTTTGGCTCGTGCATGTACTGATAAATAAAAGATTGTTTTATGAGGAATTTTTCGCATCTCACTTCGACATTATCAGTGGAAATATGAATTGATTTTTTGGTGTTCATGCAACTCACAACAATTTAAGAACCCATACAGAGAATTGCAGTAAAGCATCAATGAAGTTCAATCATATGACAAGGCGATGACGAATCGCGTAACCAGTTCATTACAAATTTCTCATATATCGTCGCGGACTCGAACTGCCAAGTTTCGGAAGAAAGGGAGGAACATTGATGCAAGGTCCGATGCTCTAAATGAAAGTCGCAATTCAATTCTTTCAAAGTCTAAATCTGCCAATCATCCGATTAGGATCGCCCGCCCAATCTTGCGCTAATTTTTTGAACTGAATGAATCTTTTCATTTCCTTAGTGAAACACGTGCGTTTTTTTTTTGAGCAGAGTCGAGCAAGAGTTGTGACATACGCGCCGAATATCTCCCCCCTCCCTCCCCGCATTATCGCATCTGGGGCATGACATAAAGACCCTATCAAGCACAATTAGTAATGTATTCGTAATTATCAAGCTAAATAACCCCTATAAACCAAGTTTTATCGATAAGATTACCAAGATATAGGATCAGCCAAGTGAAATCATCATTCCCAAACATGATTAACTCTGTTTTTACGGTAGTTGCTATCTTCTTTGCATTTAATACAAGCGTTACTCCTTCCGTGCCTATATAAGAAAAATGCCATTTCAGATTACCTCCAAACTATAAATTAGGAACCAGCCAAGATCGTGTCCGTTTTTGCTTTCAGGGATACGATATCAGCGACTGTTATTTAGACTACTTAATCGCCGGAGGCAGGCGGCCACGCGATTTACTCAGATAATCGCCGGGGGCAGGCGGCCATGCGATTTATGGGCAGGTGGGCACCGGAAAAATAATTCGCTGATTTCTTGCCGTCCGCTTGCAGATATTTGGAAGAATTTAGGCGAGAATTTGGACGATTGCTCAAAGAACAATTGCGGCTTTTTCATAGAAAGTTGCGGCGCAGTGGCCGAATTCTCGCGGACTCTCCGCGAGAATATGCAAAATTAATGAGGACCGCGCAGTCCCTAGATATATACTTTCCGCTGAGAGAAATACCCCAAACTCGGGTAATTAAACCACCGGCGACACCGCTGCCACACAGAGTCTTACCGGTGCTCGACGTAAGCCCGAAGCTGCAAAAAGAGTCCAAGCGCCTGCTGAAAGAGATCGTTTGACGATCGACTGCAGAAAATTCTGTGTTGCTGCCCGCTGGCAGAACATTAAACAGAAAGGGAAGTACCGCTCGCTAAAGATTTGGTCACGCCCCAAAATTTTGCTGACCGCTTGTAGAAAAGCGCGAGTTTGCGGGCCGTCTGCCCCCGGCGATTATCTGAGTATTTGTACACCCTATTAGCTTACATGCAGAGCCTTCATACATCTGGGCTTTTTGTGCCGCAGAGACAATCAAACCTTCTTATTTTCCAAATGGAAATTTTATTTGAAATCATTACTCTTACAAGAAGATTTTCCAGTGCTATTTCCAAAGCAAATAATTTATTGGATGACTGACAGCATACTGCGTCTATCTTGAGGGAAAGTGGATATATATTCTATAGCTTAGATCTCGTGTTTTCATAAGAGCGATTTGTGTATGAAAGGAATTTTCCCACACTGCGTAAACTAGGACTTGCTTATACTTAATCGTCTGCCGCAGGGGGATAAATTATGGTCGGAGACTAGTACAAATGAGCTCTTAATATCTCACAGCCCTTCCTACTCACATTCCGAAGGTCCTTTTTCTGCTAAGGTACTTGAACTTGCAATTTACGGTCCTTACGGATTATCGTCACTTGATGGAAGCTTCTTACGGCGGTGTGAGATTTTAAGAGAAATGTCTGATAAAAGTTGGTTGTCAAAGTATATTTTAGGAAAAGAAAACATAGATGGTAAGATAAGCGTTACCGAAAGCAAAACAAAGCTTGCCTTAAAAAATTGCGCAAGAGTTACGTAAACAACATTTGATAAAAAATTGACTAAAGTGCAACAATGGGGTAATTATTAGGTTGGCTAATAAATAAGTTCGGTCGCTTTTGCGGCTCTTACCTATGTTGCATACAAATTTTCAGTGTTTGATATCTCTGAAGCACTTCAGTGAGAACTGGAGCATAGTTTCTATTTGAGTCAAACTTATCTCCAAAGGAAAGAAATCCGCGAATTGGGAAACTCCAATTTTCTCACAATGCGCAAATATGCGGAAATTTGCTTTTCTTGATAGATTTTCATTTTTGATGAAAATTTTTCAAAGTAGCAGATCACAAATTTTCATTGCTAATCACTAAACTATCAGGTTAAAGGGGTGCACAGACCTTTGCCTGATGGTGTAGCGGTGTTATTGTACTGTGTCCAAGACATAAGTAATTATAAATTAGTTTATTATATAAGTTACATAAAAGGAGAGGAAAGGGGGGAAGGGTAGACTGGTATGAGGATGACCAGCCAGGAGAGGGAGTGTGTGTAAGAGTTATTCATGCTGTCTTTTATACTCGTACAACAGCAACTGTGTCGTAGGCGGGGTGGCGTGTCCAGTAAACAGTGGAAGCATGACGAGGCATAAGATATGGTGAAATGATATCCCGACATCTCCATTCCTACGGTAAGCTCGTCCTCGAGCTTGTTGAAGATTGATTGAAAAAAGTGTTGCTCTTGTTGGCATACCAAGGTAAGATTAGGTGAACTGTTGAAGCAGTCACGACCTTCTCTTTACCCCGGATGGTTGAGGAAGCTCGTCCTCGAGCGATGAGAGAGAGTAGAATGGCGTTGACGTCGTCGGTGATATTGTCGAAGTGACGGCCATGGTGTCATGCATTGCAGTGGCAGTAGTTGGGGAAGTTGAGATTTAGGTGACAGGCATTATTGTTGTACAAATATAAGTCAACAGTCATGTTTAGTAAGTAAATCGTAAACATTACATAAATACGAAAAATGTTGAAGTGTTGCTCTTGTTGGCATACCAAGGTAAGATTAGGTGAACTGTTGAAGCAGTCACGACCTTCTCTTTATACTTGAGGAACCCATAGAAATAGATCCACATCCTGAAATGCAATCCAATCAATTGGTAGACCGTCTAGATGACGTTTTTGACAAATTGTGCCTCTCCTCATACTCAACTAAGCTTCCAACCTTTTCTGGTGAACAAGGTGGACAAGGCTTAATGAACTTTATACAGCAATTCGTTGAAATTAGTGACATCATGGGTTTAACCCCACAAAAGAGAGCACGCTTACTACCCGCTCACTTAAAAGGCACTGCAAAAGCCGTTTTTGACAATTTTCCAAAATTCAAAAAGGAAAATTGGCAGTTAGCCGTTAATGAACTTGGTAAACATTTCTCCACTGATCATTTTTTGGATATGGCTCGCGAAAAACTCATGGAAATGAAAATGAAACCTGGCGAATCGCCAACACTGTTTTCTAAAAGACTAAGACAATGCATATTAGAGGCTTATCCCGAACCAGATCAAGAACAAAATAGAGAATTTCTCCTAAGAACTGTTCTTAGCACCGCTTTACCTCCAAAACTCAAGCAAAAGCTTAAACTTTTGGGTCCTTTACCCACTGACTTCAACAAACTTTTAACTGAAGCGGAACGAGTCTATGATCTAACAGAATATGAAGAACACTTTACTGGAGACTCTGTCTTAATGGAAAAAGTAGATAAAATTCTCGATAATTTACGTTCAAAACCAATTAATGCTATTTTCCAAGCCGATAATTTGAAACGTCTTCCGGACTACCCATATAATCGCGGATATAATCGCAATAGGTTTTATCCATCAAATAACTACATGCGCGACTCCCGAACTAATTTTAAAAGAAAACCATTCATCCCTTACAAAAAGAATGTTAGATTTGCACCTTATTCACGCGATAATTCCAACAGTAGATCCCGAAGTCGTTCACCTTTTTCCAATAGTCGTTCACCTTTTCCTAATAGAAACAATCGATCAAAAACACCTCCTAGATTCCCTAAACGAAATAACAACTTTCGTAAAGATAGAAATGTCAACAGAAATAATGTAGATAGAAATGTAAATTCAATTTCTACAAAGTTTTCATCCGGCATAGGAAAATACGCACATTCACTATTTTTGATAACAGTATTTTGTTTATCATTTACTTTTGCTACCGCATCACCTCCAACTTACCAACTCTGTGCAGCCGGTAAATCTGGTTGGCCAGTAGCTTATCCAGAACTTACATCGTGTACTCACCCTAGCAATTCCACTGATATATTACTAACTACAGCTTTCGTTTTTGTACAGCGCACAGAACCATATCTAATCAATGCTTACCACTGCTTCAATAAAACAAGAAAAATCTGCGCTTCGTCATATTTACATATGACTTTTTCGGTCAACAGCGATGAAGAATACATGTCAGCAATAGAACCTTCCATATGTCGCACTATAGCTGACACTAAGAAATTCCAAGGAAAACCTCTCTATCCACTTTCGCCAACAGTGTATGGTTCAGATAACGATATTCATTATTCGTATCCATGGTTTTTTGGAGAAAAATGTACATATACCACTAACGTGTATGTAGAAAAAGGCGATCTTGCAACTTATGATGGCGATAAAATAATAGGTCAATTTGGCGACATGGCGCGATGCCATGTACGAGACAACGAATGTAAATTAACTCATGGAACCGTTATTTGGAGCACTGGAACAGAAAGACCTTTTGCTTGCCGGTATCAAAAAGCAGTAGAAACTGTCGCTTATGTTACACCTACGCATATGGTACTTGATAATATTCAAACAGCACTCACATATAAAAATATAACTTATAAACCTCATCAAATTTCATACTGGTGTTTACCCAATGATTCAATCGCTATGGACAATGGTGTTTTCGTACTATTACCAGAAATTCGTGGTCATAATCCTCGCACAATTTTTGCCAAAAACCCGGATATAGTAGA